CTATCGGTCTAAAAATTATAATTTCAGTTAAAGAGAATCTGAGCATATCATTCGACAGAACACGTCGAGTTGTACTTTGGAACAATTGAAACAACTTCCTAGACGAATCTCGACTAGTTTTACTCGAATATGAGGCTAACTTCACCTACATTGTGCTAGCAGTTTTTTTATGTGTGATGGGAAAGTGAAATGGACTCTGCTCCTCACCTATGAGAGAATAAGGCGATCAATGCTGTCGTATACAAAAGATTCTTCAGGTAAAAAAAATTCAATAGGATTTTTCTAGAGAATTCAACGATGTATTGTTTAAGAAAAAAAATTGAAACTTTTACGATTTTATTATATAGAAATATGAGCAAAATATACGATGTTTTAATCATTCTGACTAATTCGATATAACCTACCCATGTAGTTATCATCATGCTAGATCGATGTTATCATTCCCTTTTTGCTATGTCCACCCCCTTTTACTTTATTTTTTTCTTTCGTTCGTTTTGTTATCACAAATACTTGCGTCATTTGCCTCGGTTTTTTTTTGTAGAATACCGAAAAAAAACCCAGACATGACGAATGGAATCATTATTTGAAATTTGTTTTTTTTTTCTTATTTAATCCTTCATTTTTTTGCCTAAACTATATCACGAATTGATTCATTGTCTTTTATCAATGAGCCTTTCTGCAGATAATTATGTATGTCTTATATAAAGTTTAATGGATGATTTTTTTTTTCTCATTACTTCAACTTATGTTATCTTATCAAAGATGATTCTGTTCAAACACTAACTTTGTCATCTGTAGTTATCACTAAAAGCCTTTATCAAGATGTATAACAAATTCACATTACATATATTAGATACAATGAAAATATCAAGTATGTACTTTCTTTGTAATGATAAGTAGAACGCTTATAGCTATCGAACTCGGATTTTCGCCATTAGAAAGAGCAAGTGAGGGAACATCTTTTTCATTGTCCATTTTTATGAGTTTTCACAATAATCTACGCTTAAATTATACGAAATTCTAGCCCAAAGCGACTTTAATTCCTGATAAAATTTTTAAATCACTCAATAGTTTATTTGAACCTTATAAATTTGATATAGATAGATGTTCCCTCACTTGCTCTTTCTAATAGCGAAAATCCGACGTTAGTTTCTCATTGACGAGTGTAATTTTTCATAAGTGAGAGAAGTTAAAAATCTTTGCACAAACTTAGGGATTACTTAGATTTTCTATCAAACATGCATTTCAGAAAATATCGCGGAGTTGTGATCTTCAAAAACCGATTCGAAAGACACATGGCAATGAACTTTTGGTAGAAGTTCGATTTTAATCCTATAGGAAAAATTTGATATCAACTTGTATTCATATCTTCGCAGGACTTTTACAGTCTGTTAGACATCTGAATAATATCCAATCGTAAGATTTTTAAAATCCTTAGAAGATTCTCTTGCGAGTAAAAAAAAAAAACTTGGCATCTCCTTTATTTTCTCATGTAAAGAAATTTTTAAAAATTACCTGTAATTCTTGACATGTATTTTCAAGTTTTTCTTTATCTTCTGTCATACGATTTAATTGTCTTTTTGTTTCTGTTTGATTAAATGTATCCATTGATTTACTTGTTAATAAATCAGTATATTGTCTTTGACAATCATGTAATTGTTGATTTAAATGACTAATTGTTTCCATTCTTTCGAAGATAGCCTAGAATATTTATTTATAAAAAAAAAAAAAAAAACTTGTATTCAATGTATTTACTTTTTCATTGTTTTTACAAGCAGATTCTAATTGAATACGAAGTTCATCAACTTCAATTGTCTAAACATTGAAAAAAAAAACAAAACATTTTTGTTTCTTCTTTGAAATTTTAATCAAACCTTTTCTTGTAAATTCATTTGAGTAATTTGTAATTTTTCATTAAGATTAATTATTTCTTGTTCATGTTTTTCACGTGTACTTGCTAAAATAAGTTCACAATCTTGTTGTGTACGTGCAATAGATTCAAATCTTTGTAATTCATTAACTTTTCGATGAAGTGAATCAATTAATGATTCAGCATCATCTAATTTCTTTTCAAGCTATTAAGAAACAAAATTTATTTTAGATCGTTGGAACAAAAGTTTTTTTTTGTTTTTTACTTGTGTTTTATTTCCTTCTAATTGTTGAATTTTTAATTCTGCATCTTTAATTGTTCGTTGTAATTGATTATTTGTTTCAATTAATTCTTCACATTGTCTAGTTATTGATTGATAACGTTGTTCACAATCATATTTAGCTCCTATCACAAAAAAAAACAAAAAAATCTATTAATTTATTCTTTTAATTTATTTTACTTTCACTTAATTCAATTTTATGTTTAAGTACACGTAAATCACTATTATATTTTTCATGATATTCAGTAAAACGATTTTCAAGTTCAGTTATTTTTCGTTCTTTAACATTACATAAAATACGAAATTTATTTAATTGATTTTGTATATCAGATGAATTTGTTGATGATGTTTGATACATAAATTGTGTTTGCATTGGATCAATTAAATCTATTGTTGGTAATGAATCAAAATATTGAACACTTGTTGATAGTTTATTATTATTATTATTATTTATTTGACGATTTGGATTTTGATAATGAACTAGAACAGAATTTTTTGTATTAAATTGTATTTCTTGTTCAGTATTATTATGTTCATCAAATTGTTGATAACGTGGATATGTATATTGAGTATGATCATCAAACTGAATGTAATTGATAGAGAGATAAAAAAAAAAAAAAAAAAGAAAAAGATAGATGAATAACATACTCGACGAACATCTGTTGAATTTGATGGTGGAACTAATGGTGGAGGAGTGGAGACAGCTGGAGTAGAATATAATGGTTGTTGATATAAATGATTTCGATGAAGTAATCTTAATTAAAGAAAGAATATTTTTCAACATACTTCAAGATTAAATTTTAATTAATCTGATATTTTATTTATGTTAAAAATATTAGAACATATTTTTATAATCACTAAGATTTTCATATTTCAGAACAATGTTAGTCCCGTATATCAAAATGAAGCTTCCAATAAACAGATTTTCCTGGAAAATTCTAATAACTAACAATTTATTCCATCTTAACAACCAAAAAATGTTCGTTTTCACAAAGCATTTATCTTCTGGTCTTGTTTAGTACTCAATAAATTCATTTCCTATTACATTTAAATAACATGCATAACACGTATCATTAATTAGAAATTATTACTACCATTCTCTTCTACTGTTGCTTAAATGTTGAAGAGATGTGTCTCATTCGATTTCATTGAAATAATTTATTTTGACCTCATTGTCAATCAGACAAAACATCAAAACTAATTAGTACATTCTGTTCTATGCTCGACTATGTAATAAAAATGTTAAGAAACCTAAAAACTGTGTCATCAATATTTGACTTCTATCACGAAAGTCAATATGTGATTCTGACAAGATTTCATTCGACTTAAATATTTATAATGATAATCAAATCTCACTCATGTTGTTGTTGTTGAATATAATGTTCATTAGCATTATTATTATTATTATTTGTATTTAATAGTTCATGTTCATTAACAATTAGATGACTTGAATTGGATGTGTTCAATGATTCATCATCATCGTCATCTTCTTCTTCTTCGCCATCCGAGGGCTCTTCATGTCCTTCAAAAGCAGCCATAATTAATTCAACGATCTATTATATCAAAAAGGAAAAAAAACATTTTTTTTTTTTACATAAAATTTTTAATTAACAAACTTCATTTTGATTTGTTTGTTCATGAACAATATCTTCATGATCTTCTTCATCAAAATCATTTTCATTAAGACCAATTGAATCAGGTAAAAACATACTGACACCCGAATTAAATTCCATTTTTTTTTAATGATTCAACTACTAGCACCAACGAATTTTTTTTTTCTTTCCTTTCTTAACCGCAATTCTATTCATTAAATTTTCTTGACTGACCTTGTTACTATAGTTACCGTCAATGATGTGAAGAAAGAATATTTATTTTTATTTTTTAATAAAAATTATAAAATTTTATAATTATAAAATATTATACAATTTTATAATAGAAAAAAATATATATGACTTCTATGTATTTGATATATGGTGTCGCTGTATATAATGCGTTCATTTTGGTTCAATAGATATAGAAATTTTTTATTTAATTGCTGCTTAGCGATTATTGTATTAAGTTTCAGTAGTAAAAGATTTTTATTCGAAACAAGAGAAATACTATGAAATTATTTTCTACGAGACAAGAGATTTGAACACATTTATAAAAAAAAAAATCACGCCAGTTTTCCGTAGTTATATATGCTCTGAAAATAGGAGGCTGTAGGTCTATATTTTTATGCACCTGAATATGTTCTGTGTAATCCATGCGAAGATTACTTATTTATAAATCATTTTCTAGTACTAATTCACTATCTAAGTATATTTGTAGTTGTCAAAATAAAAATGCTCAAACAAGTGTCAATCAGTTTTATACATCTTCAAAAGATCAATCCAGGTATTTCAGATTAAGTTAAGCAGGAAATTAAAGTTGCTTGTGTTAAATTTGTAGCACTTGAATGTTGATCATTCAAAACAATTAATGGTATCGATTTTAAAAAACTTCCACAAAAAAGTTTTAATAATACTGGTCAATGCTGATCTTTACGAAGCTGCGGGTCCATGTTTTTGTGGATGGGATTCAGACCCGTAACTCCCTCTTTGGAAATATGAAAATAACAATCCTTTAATCAAATAAGATGAAGTCATTCTCAGACAACATTTTTCCAAAATAATAACAGTATTACTAAATGATAATAATTAAATAGATGAAGATTAAATAGGAGTGACTTATAATGAACTTGAATAAACTATGAATTCGATTGATATAGATAAATCAAATTAAATTGCTAGAATATTCATGAATCGAATAAAAAAATTATTTAGGATATTTATAATCAACTAACATGTAGTGAACTTATAGAAAACGATAGTCATTCTACATTATATTACTCCCTTTGAATTCTTTTAAATAAAAGTAAATCTATTTTGATTGAGACAAAAAAGAATAAATACTTATTTTCTTCTTATTATATTTGTTTTAATATAGAACAAAACATAATCTGTACTGAAGTTTCATTTTTATTATTTCATCAAATTGATTGATGACAATCATATCACAATACTAGAAAATTATCGTAAAAAGTAAACTGTTAAATCAGAATAAAAATACGAACATTAATACATTTTTCTATTGAACAATTCTTCTTTGAGAGGCTTCAATTTGAATGAATGAATGAACTAGATGAAAACAATCAGTTTCGTTTTTTACTCGTTCGACATTTCAAAGTAGCTCTAAGGATTCATTTTGAGATTAATTTCATATTAATTGATGACAAGCATGAAGGTTACTGGAGTTTATCATCTGATCATGCATAATATATTTGAACTATCATGGAATAGCATAATAATTTCGAAGAGTCTGGTGTCCTCTTCAAGATAGCTACTGTCTGCGTTCTCAAATTTTTCATTCAACGGTGAAATAACTATCGGAATTTGTAAAATCTTCCGAACTGTTGTTGCTTGATTAACTGAAAGAAAATTTGCTTGTACATATCTCATATTTTGCATGTTCATACTGCTGGTATACCGATCGGCATAATGCGCGATATATCGACGTTTTTTTTGAAAGTGTTGTATCATGGTGTATTGCATCACAATGAATGAATATTTTGGAAGCCTGTTAAAACTGACAGAATTGAGTCGTTTTTCATACACTCTGGCAATAATAATGCATCTGAGCCGTGTGTACTAGCCACAAAGACCAAATCCGTCCTAGTCACGAGATAAATTTTTATTAGTTTACTCTCAACAATCGTTTATGTAAGCGTTACTGCCGGTTCTTATATGTACCGTAGTATACCAGCGATGGTGCGAACAAATGTGCGATATGTGCTTCGACGAAAATCTCAAACACAAAGAATATCAATCAATGACACTGAATAATTGGTTATTGAGATTGAATTTTTTCGCGTATCATGGTAAAAAAAGTCGTTTTCTTTTTGTACTTCTCTGAAGGTAGTACAAAGATTGGGAAAAATGAGAATGTAACCACTAATGAGAAAAAAAAATGTGTGATGAATTCGTACGCATCTTTTTTTCTTATTTTAGAAGTAATTAATTGATCACAAAAAAACATTTGTACATAAATAATGAGCTTGAAAAAGAAAAAAAATCAAGTTAATGTACGTCACTGTATGCTGTTTTTCGTTCTTCCTTCTGTTTCTTTTTATTTGACTAATGAATTAATCTTGCGTAAGAATAATGAAAAAAAAAATCTGGTCCCTATGAGGATCGAACTCATGACCTCCGCGTTATTAGCACGGCGCTCTAACCGGCTGAGCTAAGGGACCGCTGTCATCTGATGTGAAAAAATAATTTCTAGACATGGATAATTTCTATAATATTGAGATTAACTATTTTTAAAATATAAAATCTGCACACTCCTATGCAAAAGATTTTCATAGAATTCAATTCTAAAGAAAAATGTTATACAAAAACTCCGTCAAATGCCATACAACAGAAATTTATTCACTCGTGTACAAACTTTTATTGATAAACTCTTGCCGATAAATTTTTGATCGTAGTGTATATCAGAGCTGCCAGCCTGATCTGATCAAAGTCTACTTGAAATGAATGTCTTAGCTACTTTTGAACGTTAGGTGTCGCTATAGGCTCAGCTATATTTCAAAGAATTTTAAAAACAAGTGATTGGAATAACTCGCAAATTTGTTACAATAGGCAGAGGGTGTGGGTGTGGGTGTGAGTGTGGGTGTGGGTGTGGGTGGGTGTGGATGTGGGTGGGTGTGGGAGTGGGTGGGTGTGGGTTTGTAGGTGTGTGAGTGTGGATTTGTGGGTGTGGCTGTGGATGTGGGCGTGGGTGCGTGTGGGTGTGGGAGTGGGAGGGTGTGGGTGTGAGTGTGAATGATAATAGCAACACTCATACCTATACTCATACCCTCACCCACATCCACACTCACACACCCACACCCTCAGGAACCCTGGGTGAGTTCCGTTTTTGGCAACCCGGAAACTCATGTCGACTTGATAGGGATTGAAAAAATAAGCACGGTCATAAGTTTTAATATAATTAGGAACGTATGAAAACGAACCTTCAAATAAGTTTCAGGGTTTCCAGAACACGGAACAAGTTCCGTTCTCGGAAATCGGTTCAAAATTCGTATTCCTACGTTCGAGAACACGGACCAAGTTGTAGGTTCCGCGTTCCTAGGAACCCCAAACGGGTTCCGTTCACGGAGATCCATATCGACTTAATACAGATTGAAAGAACAAGCACATCCATAAGTCTCAACATAATTAAAAACGCATGGGAATAAATTTTCAAGTGAATTCTCGGGTTCTGGGAACCCGGAGTGGGTTCCGTTCCTTGGAAACGAAACTCTATGGAACGGGAGACTCTGCCCATGTCTTTCATCCCGGCAATTTCCCGCCGGGATCCCGCGAGATCCCGTCCGGGATCCTGTGCGGGATCCCGGCCGGGATCTGACGGGATCTCGCGAGATCCCACGAAAAATATCGGGATCCCGACAGGAAATTACTGCTATATTAGTGCCTTGAGAAACCAAAGACAGTGGATCAACTCCCAACTTCATCCTTTTTTTTTGTTTTTTTGCCTTATTGTTGAATTTGAGCACTTTGATATCGTGCTGAATCCAGTTTATTATTCACTAATTTTTATATTTTTTTTACATGCTCGAAGCGTATAATAAGCAAGAAAATGGAGAAATAAGAGAAGAAAAAAAAGGTTTTATCATGTTAATCATATAAGAAAAGCAAAAATGCAAAAAATAAATTAGTTGAGACCGTATCAGTCATGTTGATATATACATGTTCTCGTAAAAAAAATATATAAAGTTTTAGATTTGTGCTGATGGATTTGTTTGAACTGTAGTTTCCTGTTTTCTTAAACCCTTTTTAATATCCCGACGTTTGTTTAAAAATGTTTCATGTAAATTATACCATTCAATTTTAAAAATATCATCTGATAATCGAAATTTACTTCGTACAGCTTCTAAAAAAAAAAGATACGATAAACAATATATGAGATTATTTGTGCTAAACAAACAAGATAAAATAAATTCTTAGTCAAACCTTGTATTAATTTATAACCATCATTAAATTTGATTTTTGTTGCATCTAGTTCCAATAATTCTTCATGTGTAAAAACAATATCAATTAATGATGTTACATATAAATTCATCTTTTGTTTAACACCAGTTATTGATAATAAATCAACATCATTTCCATCGTTGGGATTTTTATACATCTAAAAAATGAAAACAAATCTTATGAACAATTGATTAGTATAAAAAAGGGCATCAAAAAACATTTGCTTCGAAAGTTCTTTCTTCACATGTTATTACTCTGTTTAAAGCTGTTTGAACGTACTATTATTGTTTCAAATGTTTTTTCTTCAACTGGTTGTTCTACATTGGGTTCTTCTAATAGTATATATATCTAAACAGAAAGAAATAAATATAAAAACCATGTCCATAATAGTCAGTCTTTAACCGTGCTAGTGTTTAAAAATACACCGTTAATTTGTGCATGATTTTACTAGAATACGTTTTTAGATTTTCACTCTAGATAGCCTTTGAAACTTGTAGCCCTAGTAACTTACGAAAAAAGATTCCAGACCGTAATATATTTTCTAGGTTATTCTTAATCACGCAATACACGATAAGAAGAAACTAGCCCAAAATGAGACTTTTTACCCCAATATCTGTCTAGCTGTTGCAGAAAGTGACTCCTCTTACCTTTTTTTACATAAGGCGTTTTGTATTTTTTTTAATTTGCAAATAACATGTGAATCATATTTTCTTGTCCCATTAATATTTGTTTTAAATATTTTTCTTCTATGTTTGTAACACTTAACAATATTCATAGCTTTTCCTAATAATTTTTGTGCTTCATGTAATTCAGCCATTGTACCTATAGTAGAAAGAGAAATAGACAAAAGATAACTTTTCACATTTTTTAAAAAAAACTTCACGTTCATCTGATACCTACTTTGAAAACCATTGTCAGATATTTTTTACTGCCACTTTGTACAATAATTAATCCATCATGTTCTGAATTTGAACACTGTTTATTATTAAAAATAGAAAATGTATTGTCACTTGGAAATATTACAAGTTTATATTTTTGTTCGGTATTGGTTATGCTATAAGTTTTGTAAGATTTTTTATAAATATTAGTATCGTCTAACATATCTAAATTATTGTACATACTCAATAAAAAAATCAATAAATAGATCGATTTTATGTCGCAAGAGTAGAAGAATAATCGTCACAGCGGCCGACTATTGTGTAAACAGACATTGAATCAGAAAAAAGAACAATGATGACGGTCAAGTCGATTTGAATGAGATGAGCAATCACTGACGGATGAGGTAATGACAATAATCCTTTTTCGTCTGACATAAAATATACTATATCGAATTGATTACAATTATTTGTTTAACTGCAAACATTCTAATTCGAATCTGTTTTGAACATACAATCGTAGAATGCGCTTCACTAAATGAACAAGAAATCATTTGGGATAAAATAATTTTGTCGGGATCCCGTTTTTTTTGGCCGGGAACCCGCAGGATCCCGTCACTTTTTGCGGGATAGGCGGGAACCCGCGGCTTCCCGCATAGAAAAGTTAATCCCGCGAGATCCCGGCGAGATTCATAAAAAATGAGCGACATGGGTGAGACCTCGAATATTGATCTAAGTCTTTAATGATTTTTCGGCTCAAAATCCTGAAACTCACGCATATTTTGACTTAAATATACTAATCAAAATTGTAATTTTGCAAGAAAGTAATTAATTAAGGTGAGTCTTCTATTGTGGGAGAGAATTTAATTTTTTTCATCTGAAAAAATGTTACTAGTAAATACATAAAGTGTCAAAAGATCAAGAGCAATAAACATTTTATTAATGCCTATCAGTGAATGAACGCTCAGAAATATTCCTGTGTGCTAGTCTTGATTCCTTTTCAGATTCTCTCCATTTGATCTATCATCCGATTGGTCATACCATGAAAGACTTTTCACACATAGATTCGATGTTTCTGCTTTACTTCAATAAAAATCGTTCTAAGATGAACGTTGCTTCTGCTAGAAGCTGATTAGTCTTTCAGAAACGATATTCTCGGCTTAGTTATATTATTGTTTTCGTCGGTCGAATTGCTAATACATTATCTTTTTAATGGATACACAAAACAGTGCATTGACATTCCGAGAATCTTATCTTTTATTTTTTTCAGTCCATTTACAAAAATTATAGCATCATAGATACAAACAAGTATACAGAAAAAGACATTTGTAAATAACTTTTCATATACCATCGTCAGTTTTAAGTGACATTGCATAATAGGATGTTATCAGGTTGTTCGAAAAGTCCGTGTAACTCAAATAATACGAAACCACAGGATAACATTCGCTGCATTTATTAAATGTACTGGCCTTTGCTAGCAACCACACGTTGTCAATGATCACACAAACTATTTATTCCATTAAAAAAATTCCGAATCAAGATTACTCAAGTGATCCTCAACAATCCTTATCACTTGTTCATCAGAGCAAGAACTGTTACCACGAAGAAAATTCTTCAAATGTAGGAAAATGTCGTAATCAGTAGATGCAATATCCGGAAAGTAGACAGAATGATTCAATTTGGCGAAGCCAGTCTGGCGAATAGCATTCTGCACAACATTACTCTTGTAAACGAGCACGTTGTCATGAAGAGATAGCACTCGCTAGCTAATTTTGCCGAAGCACTTTTCTAGGATAGCAGCACGCCGTGTTTGTTCCACAAAATAACCAGTATGACCTTGCCTGCTGATGGGATTGAGTTGATGTCTCTTCTACTAGTTTCTTCCAGGGCTTCGCTTCCAAACGACTGAACGAGTCATAGGGATACCCCTACGACTCATCCACGGTTACAATACAATCGAGAAAGTTCGTCGGTTCGATTTACTTTCCTGCAGTACATCCTGATAACATTCCACTCGGATAGTGTATTGAAGTAGAGTCACGAAATTTCAGTATGCAACGTATAGAGACCTTGCGCATTCCAAGTGATCGCTCATGATCTCGTGGAGTATAGTTGTTTGGAATGCCCAATTTTCATCAGTGGTTGTGACCGTTGGACGACTCCTTCATGGTGTATCTTCAACGTCGCGTGTTAGATCTTTGAATTCAGCCACCTGTTTTGCCACGGTGTGGCACACTGGACCAGGGTCCCTATAAACTGTCCCCAGCTCCTTGCTGATTCCCGTAACATTCAGTCCTTTTCGAGTAAAAAACTTTAATACTGCTCGGTGCTCGATGTTCGACATATCTGAAATATGGACAGAGACGATCGTCAAAAGTGATTTTTCCGCACAAAATCAAGCAATCAGCCACAAGAAGGCGTACATCCTAGTAAAAGTTCACTCTTTGCACCATAATGTAAACTAAATATTTCACGCACGCAATTCAGGTGCAACTGTACGAATTTTCTGCACAACTTCATACTTCTTCACGAGGTATTCGTCCAATAGGCACGTGTTCATCAACAAATTGTTGACCTGGTACTTGAGGGTGTAGCTGTGGGGTGTGGTGGGTGTGCGGGCGCAGCCATGCATGCAGGTGTGAGTGGCTATGAGTGTGAGCGTGTTCGGGCGTGAGGATGAGTGGATATGGATGTGTGCATAGGTGTAGAGTATAGTGGGTGCGAGCTGTGGTGGGTGTGCGTGTGAGTGGTGCAGGTGTGGAGCAAGAGAAGGTTCCCACCCACCCCACACCCTTCTTCCTATACTGCATGCTTACATCGATCATTCGACCTTCCGTACTTCTAAATGTTAGAATGAAGTCAGAGTCACCCAATGTTAGGGTTCGGGCTCACCAACAGAGACAAACAAAGTTAAAGATGCACGTGTTCTCTTGTCTCTTCATTTATTGTTTAAAAAAAACAAATGTTTATATACCAGCAAAAAAACAAGGACAAAAGTAGAAGACAATAGAAACGTTAGTCAAGCTCAAAGAAAGGAATAGAAAGAAAATGATAATAACAAAAACATAACACCAACAATAAAACAATGACCAACAAACAGAAAAAATAAAGGATTGACGTATACATTATAGAAATGCAGCGTAACAACGCGCGATGTGGTGGGAACGACTTCCTTTTAACTTCTGGTGTTTTTTTGATAATATTCTAATGCTTTGTCGTATTCACCTTTTCTCTCGTAAACTGATCCAATATTACTATATATAGTTGCTAATGATGGGTGATATGGTGGTAACGCCTTCATCTCAATTTCTACTACTTTTTCATAATATTCTAATGCTTTATCGTATTCACCTGTTCTGTTGTAAACTAATCCAATATTACCATATGTAGTTGCTAATGATGGGTGATATGGTGGTAAGGACTTCATCTCAATTTCTAGTGCTTTCTCATAATATTCTAATCCATTATCGTATTCACCTTTATCATAGTAAACTAATGCAATATTAGTATATGTAGTTGCTAATGATGGGTGATATGGTGGTAAGGACTTCATCTGAATTTCTAGTGCTTTCTCATAATATTCTAATCCATTATCGTATTCACCTTTTCTGTTGTAAACTAATCCAATACTACTATATGTAGTTGCTAATGATGGGTGATATAGTGCTAAGGACTTCATCTGAATTTCAAGTGCTTTTTCATAATATTCTAATGCTTTATCGTATTCACCTTTGTCATAGTAAACTAATGCAATATTATTATATGTAGTTGCTAATGATGGATGATATCGTGGTAAGGACTTCATCTGAATTTCTACTGCTTTTTCATAATATTCTAATGCTTTATCGTATTCACTTTTTCTGTGGTAAACTAATCCAATATTAATATATGTAGTTGCTAATGATGGGTGACATGGTGGTAAGGATTTCATTTGAATTTCTAGTGCTTTCCCATAATATTCTAATGCTTTATCGTATTCACCTTTGTCATTGTAAACTAATCCAATATGAGTATATATAGTTGCTAATGATGGATGACATGGTGGTAAAGACTTCATGCCAATTTCTAGTGCTTTTTGATAATATTCTAATCCTTTATCGTATTCACCTTTGTCATTGTAAACTGATCCAATATTAGTATATGTAGTTGCTAATGATGG